AATAAAAATTGAAATGTTTTTGTGCATTTTATCCTTCTAAAAATTCAAACATTTGGCAGGTAATCAATCACAACATTTAGAAAAGAAATATATTACTTTTTCTAGTTACGTTTGTTAAATAAGTACATATGTTTTGATATCAAAATAATTTTAAGTAAAATTTAACTTAACATTAAGAGGTGTCATACATTTTACAGAAACTTTCAAAAGGCATTTTTTTAGTTACACTTCACACATAGAGTGCGAAAGCATGTCTCAAAGTCTTATGTATAAAATAATTACGAATAAAAGTGATGGGAATCTCATGTTTGAATTGAATCGACCTCACTTGTATCTGCCTCAACACAAGTACACAAACGTTCTTCATATATACGTTACATTTCTCATCAGAATACATGATTACATATTTCGTGCCATAAGGTCTAAGTCATGTGCATGTGTCAAAGCAAGAAAATTAAAATAATGACATGCTTGTAGACCAGCTGGGGAAGGTGCTTGCAAGGTTCATTGGGATCTTCTCCTTGACTTGTTTCTCCTCGAGTTCCAAATTCCCTCATATCGCAATATAGATTAGGCTCTAGAAACTATAGATTTGACATGACACATAATTTTAGTTTAGTATTTAAATAATGATGAAAATTACTTTCCATAGCAATGCAACATGTCTGATCAACAGGAAACAAAATTAAACTAAAGTATGCCGGCAATCAATTTTAACAAGATCTGCTTGAGTTATATAAGAATGCATGGTTATGAGATAGGCAATCGTAATGTTTTAGATTCTCACATTAAATCATAGATACAGTTTTGCTATGTTTTGGATTTCCATATCTTATAGAGATGTTACCACAATTGTCTTTTCTTTTCTTTTGATTGATTGATTGCTCTTTTCCTTTAGCAATAACAGTTGAATAGTCGCATCTTGCCATCACATGAAATAATTATTATTATTGCTCCAACCTGCAACAACGCCATTGAATCAAATCAATTACTATTTATTTTCCGAATTCTAGTTATTTAATATATGTTTGGTTTAGTCGCTTCTTCAACTATCTTTGATGTATTAAATAAAGGGTGCTGCTATGAAATAATCGAACCAAAACTTCATGTATTGGTCAGGAACCAATTTTATGTGAGAATCTTTTTTGTTTTTAAGAAGCTATATAAACTGATGAAGCTTTACCACAGTGAATAGCTCGAGCATTTATGTATGCTCTAATAGCACCACACTTAAATAAATATTGTACCAATTAAAAGCCCCAAAAAATTTCTTTTGATTTAAGCAAGTTTTCAATTAAAAAAAATAAAACATAAAATGTAATAAAGTAAACCTCTATGTATGTGCAATGATCTAAAGATTGAAACCAAGATCCATAAAGAAAATAACAAACCAAAATGGCTGATAAATTATATCTAAGACATCTCTATTTAATTATTAATGGCTCGTAAATATCAATGGTTTTTTGGTTTTTCCATAATCGATCTATAGAACTTTTAAAGGGGCCCACGTTAGATATTAATGAATCTACATTACATCTGCAATGGAGATCCTCTCCTGTGTATTTTATTTGTAAGAAGAAAACTTGGTCTACGAGCTTGATTTCAATTTTTTTCTTCTTCTTTGATTATATCTTATTCTTTTTCATTTTAATTAAAAAAAATCCAGAATATTGTAAGGGACATGAGATGGGCAGGTAGACTAATTAACAACAATTAAGTACATGCGAATCAGATCTATATTACCAAATCAGATACTCAATCTTGGCCCTTCAAAAACAAGGAATTCGTTTGTCTATAGGATAAGACTCATTATTCATGAGCTGATATATATCCTCCATGCATTGCTTCAGCTTTTATATATAACAATAAATAGATTGATTCTAAAGTACATCATTTTGCACATTAAGTGATGCGTCATTCTTGTGATTATCAGAAATAAGAATATATAAAACTTTCACAAGTGGCGGCCTAAATTAATTTGTGGATAGTTAAGAACAAAAGTGAATAAGAGTGAATTTTACCGTGGATTCTTGGATAAATGGTGGTTGGTTTCTGTTTCTCAGGTGGGGAACGGTGGTTTAATTTGGTGAAGGTAAAAAGTAGATTGGGGCTTTGATTTTGGTCTCTGTTTTCAGGTAGGAACATTTTTTTTTATGGGGTGCATCTTAAACAGTACCTGAAATAAGACACGGAATGATCGCAATATATCTTTAAAATTCAGTAATATCAGATCTCGCAGCCAATGGCCCAATACATACTAATGGACCGGTTCCCTTGACCCTCTTGAAAAGTCTCCTCCCTAAACTATTATAATATAATAATCTTGGGTTGGGAGTATGTACGTTTTTTTATCTTGTGGACTCTGTAACTATAAACCAGTTTTAAAGTTGTCCAGTCCCACATCCACCTTCTGGCCCAAAGCCTGCTTGGAAGGAATACCAACTTCTCAAGCATCTATTAATCATATCACACTTAACAGTGTAAATGCGTTGGGTTTTATCCTAATTTCTAAGGGTTTTATAAGAGTTATGTTGTAGGAAAAGTGATTGTGTAATGTTATAGAGATTCGTTTTGCGTGCGTAGTTTTTTTTTTTCTTCAAAAAGTGTGGGGCCCACAAAATGTCGTGTGTGTAGGAAAGTTTGTTGTGTCATGTTAAATGACAAATGCAAACCCCAATTTCTAATTGATAATTATGGTTGTATTACCAATTAATCAATGGGCTCCCTCACCTCATATTTCATTAATGAGTTTGGTGTTTGTTATTTTAAATGACATAAGTTATGTCATTTTAAGAGAGAGATAGACACAAGGAATGAAAATCAAGGGAGAGAAAGTGGGTGGTTTTTTTTTTAATTTAAAATTTAAATAAAAAAATATTTTTTTGTGTCTATCTCTCTCTTAAAATGACATAACTTTATGTCAATTAAAATGACAAACACTTTTTATTTCATTAATTAACGTAAATTAAAACATAACTCAATCCTTACTTAACATTTAAATGCATAACGTACAAGAAAATATATCATGCTTGGTAGCAATTAAGTCCTAGGCCAATATTTGGAGGTGCTTAATTTATTAATTTGTAAAGTGCTTTAATTTGTTATTTTTATTTAATTAGTAAGTTTTATTTTTTGACTTGCAAAAGTATGCTAAAGTTGACAACTATGTCAATAAAGAGTTTAAAATTTTTGAGTTTGCAAGGTATTTTCGGCAAGGATTGCACAAACCATCATAGAGCTAAAACTGCTGATGTACTGAAAAAGAAAATGGGTGACAATTAAATTTATGATGGTGATGATTGGCTTCAATAGCCTTGCAATTTACTTGCTTCTATATTGAAATTTAGTTAGGACTGAACATATTGGATCACCTCTTAAGCGCCAACGCCTTTCTCAACATGTTTTCGTTGAAAGTTTTAAGCTGATTTTGAAGAGTTAGCAGCCAAAATACTGGATCCTTCGAAAAGAACTTTGTTAAAAAGGTTAAAAAATTGGGATTGACTTTGTTAAAAAGAAGAAGAAAGAAATTGGAATTAACTGAGGAAGAGGAAATTGACGTAGTTATAAAATTTTCTCATAATTAACAATTCAAAAAATTCTTCGGGAGTTTAAGATCCCCCAAAAATGTCCTTTTGTGAGAAAGATAATGAGAATGTGATGGTGGAGTGAAATTTGATATTCGTTATTAGATTTACTACATAGTAATAGTATGATACATTATAATTTGTCAATATTTTGGATGTTATAGACACTATTAGCTAGTTTGACTAAATCCTTTAAGGCTATATATGCTTATTATGCATATATTTTAGATATTATTAACCATAAACCCCTTATTTTATTTTGTGTTGGATAACCACGGGCTCCTGTCTATCCGTATATATTATTTCTTTTTATTGTCCAAGCAAGTTAAGGTTATATCAATACAAATAACAAATAAGATATTTATAGATTAATAAGAATGTGGATTAGATTTTTTTAGTGTCTCAAATTGTGTTTTTATCACTAGAACTTAGATTGGTAGTGTAAACTGACATATAATAAATACTCTTTGTAATGCTTGAGCATTCACATGAGCTAAATTTTGGGGTTGATTTAGTTAGGTCTAATCATTCTAACGTGATATTATTTGTTGAGGCTTACCTAAATAACCCGTATTGGACCATCTGAAGATGAGAGAAAATGTAGGGCTCCCGGCCCATTGGTCCCCCAAGACACAAAAAAGTAGAGAGGGAAAGAGGAGGGAGAGGGAGAGGGAGAAGAAGAAAAAAAGAAATTCCTCTAAAAATGTCCAGTATTCAAAAGCATATGAAAACTGTCCTATTCTAGCTGTGGTATCCCTATACTATGTTGTACATAATGTTTTTTATTATTATTATTATTTCTATTTTCTTTGACCTTTTAATCAAAAAAAAACTTCTTGTTTGTACCACAAAAAATCCAACAAACCTTCCATCTGGTGAAGAAAAAAACTTATGTAACATGAATAAATCATCCTTTTTATTCTTGATTAGGTTATATTTGTTGGAAACAGTATGGGCAATATTTGAAAATAGAATAAAATCGAGAAAACAAATGAGTTCTAATTAGAAAATGTGATATGAAATAAGATGTATTATTAAGTATTCTTAATTTATCAATTTATATATTTATAATATAATATTATCATCATAAGAAGCAATCATAATATTTGTCCATAACAAAATAAAAGCAACAGAGAATGGCTTAATTAATGCCACAGAGCATTAATTCCACAAACACATTATTGCATACATATAAAAAAGAAAGTAAAGAGCAGGGGAGAGGCTAACAGATTAACATTGAAAGTTCATCAGTAAGTAATTAAAGACAAGGAATGATGAATAGTCAATGAATGTTGTGTAAAAGAAGGTAACGTAACCAGTTATGTGTTAGGCAATAGAGAGGCATAGTCAATTACCAATTAACCTAAAGATACAAAATATAGCAAATTCAATGAGCTGTGAAGTTGGTTATGATGACTAAAGTCCCAACCTCAAATCCAGAGTGAGAGGAGAAGAAGGGCAATGATCATCAAGAGGAAGAGGAAGAGGAAGAGAAGGAGAAGGAGAAGGAGGAGGAAAATTCAAGTCAACAGACCTGTGTGATGGTTCAATCACATTCTCCCCTTTCTCCCAATGACACCTCTTGTGACCACCAAGTGCTGGTCCTGTTGGAAACACCCTCAGACAAATGCTACATTTGTGACCCACGCTGTCATCTGGCTCTTCCCCTATGCTATTAGTAGTGGTGGTTGTTGTTGTGGTGGTGGTTGTTGTACCTGCACCGCCGTGAAGCATCATCATGTTGATGTGGTTGTGGTGGTCGTCGTCAGTAACTAACCTGGTTGTTATGGCATTGGCGAAACAGCCTTTGACATTCTTGTGACTAGCCCTGTGTCCTCCAAGAGCCTGGTGTGATCCAAACACTTTGTTGCAACTTGAGCATTCGAAAATGCTTAGACTCGGTGAATCCACAGTATCTTCCTTAACCTTTCCATTTGCAAGTAAAAGAAGACAAGCAGCAACATCGTGGTCTTCTTGAGTCATTTGTTGTTGTTGTTGATGATGATGTTGTTGTCGTTTTAAATTGGGGGGTGGGTTAATCCCTCTCCACTGACGCTCTGGATGGCATCGCATGTGGCCAAACAGAGCCTTCCAGGACCAGAATTTCTTGCCACATTCGGTGCAGGGACGGGTGATCTTAGGAGCACTAGGGTCTGGTCTCTTGGTTTTCAACCCTTCTTCCATTTTGGTTCTCTTCTTTCGTGGGTTACGAGAACAAGAAGAGGAAGAAGCAGCAACCACATATGGATGTTGTTGTTGTTGTTGATGATGATGATCATGATAATGTTGGTTTTGTGTTTCTGTGTCGCGAGAATCAGAATCCGTCATGGCTCAAATAAACCAAAACCTTCTTCCAATGGAGGCGCACGGCTTATGTACACCCCTCACCGGAGGAGCGGTTACTGCAACTTCTCTCACACTTTGAATTGGCGGTTTCTACTTTCTTCTTCTTTTTCCTCGTGTAATTAAAAAATAAAATAAAATTAACATCTATTTTTTTTTTGGATTACGGAAAAAAATAAAATAAAATAAAATTAACATCTATATTAAATAGTATACGGGCTATTTACCAAATAAAAAAAGAGTATACGGGCCAATACGACAACGCATTTTTAATAGAAAAGAAAGTAATTGCTGTGTTGAGTGGTTACTGGCCAGTACGACAAGAAAATAGCTAACGAAGTAATAGTTTTTACTGATTAAAAAGGTTGGACATGGATGAAACTCCTCTTTCACACTAAATCCAATCAACATTCAATATATGATCATCTGAATATGATAAAATGCAATCTGTTTTCCCGAAAAAGGTCAGCATCTATATCAGCAAATTATTTGCCAAAAAGAATTGGATGCGATAATAAACCGATGACTGGAATAGGAGGAGCAACCAAAACGGATTAAGATAGAATAAATTTTTGAATGCGTAACGATTAAGATATGACATAAAATTAATATAGTTATTTCAAATAAAAAAACACAATTTTTAAATTAGAACAAAAACATTAATGTTTCCTAAGTCAACCTTGATTATTACAAGTTGATTAGTCCAAGAAATGTTGGACCTAACTACACACCATTAAGAGTGTGTTTGGATTACCTTTTAAAAAAAGTTATTTTTATGCCTTGCTGATTTTAAAAGTACTTTTTATAAAAGTTAAAATTATTTAGATTTTAAAAAAATAATTTTTTGAAAAAAAATTGACTTTTGACTTTTATTTTTTTGAGAAGCAAAAATTTTTAACTTCTAAAAAAAAGCAGGTTTTTTACTTTTTTTATGACTTATGTTTTTTTTAAAAGCAGTCATCCAAATGCACTTTACAATAAGTGTTTTTTTTTAAAGTAACTTTTAACTGAAAAAAACTCATTCAAATGAGCCCTAAATCTAGTTTAAGTGATGCTTGAAGTGAGACTGCAATGGGATATGGTTGAGCTTTGAGGCAGGATGATTATGCTGGATGGTCGCACTATTGTTGGAGAGATGTTTATCCGGGACTAATGGAGGAGGTACTTGTAAGATATTCACACTCAAGTCATTATTTGAATGGGTGAAAAGATGATTATATCTTGATTTTGAGTCCTCTTTATATAATAGCGACACGACCTGTTTGTATCGTCGTAGTATGACAACATTCACTCTCATTGGTGGATTGAGGTGACTTTGTCAATCTATCTTGTTTGCAGATTATGTGTTGGCGAGCTATGATATATAAACTTAGTTGGAGCCTTGTGCTTATCTTTTAGAGTTCGGTCATTGACTCTGGAGAAGGCTTATGAGTTCTATGTTGTTGTTAGTTCAGTTATAAGTCAATTACATGAGTACGGGATATACATACTTTCTTATTTATTAAGTCTTTATCATTAGGTCTTTTAGGTTGTTATTAGACTGGATCCTTTATCCCGCTTAATATGGGTCAAAATCATAAGTATAATAAATATCATTATTTATCTAATCAGTGTGCCACCGGTATTGAATATTGATATGTCCTAGGATTGGGATGAACCCATTGAAAAAATTTAATCCCATGGGCTTCGCAGGGAAGAGGTTGGTTGGGTTTTGGTCTAGGAAGCACGGGTACACTAATTGGATATGGACATCACAGGACACCAATATGTAGATATGAGTCATATGACAAATTCTAATTTTTTTTGAATAGATTACGATTAAGATATAACATACGAAATTAAGATAATAAAAAAAACACAAATCTTAAATTAGAATAAAAACTTTAATGTTTCCTAAGTCAATTTTAGTTATTATTGTAAATATAATAAAATACCATTATTTTTGTAATCAGTGAGCCGCTTGTTTTCTTATGTGTTGGGATTTTGAGAAAAGAGAGATCGAGAAAAAAATTGGATGAACTCATTGATCATTCACTGTTCCAATGTATCACAGTATCAGATTGGCTTATATACAAGCTCCTGGAGACAGTTACCTAATTAACTCAAATAACAATTCTGACGGCAAACATAATCGATTCTAACAACTAATTAACACCGTAATTGTACAATACAAACTACTATACATCTTCAAGTAGCCATACAAGTTCAATACATAATAAGCAATGTGTAAACTGTAAACACCCCCTCAACCTGGAGAATGGATATTGAGCATTCGTAGCTTGTAAAAAAAAATCTGAAATGGTACTGCATGGGATTGGCAAGACATTGACTAAGCTGATTAACAGCAAAGCTAATGTCAGTTCATGTGTTGGTGAGATAAAGCAGTCTCCAATTAACTTGTAGTAGGAGGAAATATCTAGTACGAAGCACCGTTATCCCTCTGCAATTTGAGTTTAATAACCATGGGTTTGAAATCAGATTTACATGCAAGCATCCAAGTATCTTGCAACAGTTCTAGAATATATCTCCTTTGGAAAATGGAAATGCCCTTGGAGGATGGAGCAATCTCAAAACATAGAAATAATTTGGATATCGCGGGTCCTTAATCTTGAAAGAACAGTCTAACAACTGATTAGCATCTTTAATCTCTTGAATGAGCATATTTTAAGTGCTTCCAGTAGGTACTCAAGTAGTAAAAAGGGAAATTTATATGGCATTAATCATAAAGGAAGGATAGTATAAATGGTATTAGACAGGTTACTTTTTTTTAAGTGATATACGACTGCTCTCGGGAATACTAAAAATATTTCCCTACCAGATATTGTCCCCTGAAATGATTATGCCATCAACATCCACGAGAAACGCAGTGAATTATGTGGTTGAGGATCTTTTAATAAATAGGGAACGACTTAAAAAACAAAAGCGATAGAGAATAAAACAGATTACCGTTGTGTTAACTCGAGTCTAAGGAGAGGACACCAATATGTTATGTTGATCATGTTAAATATAACATGTCCGTTTCCATTTTACGTTTTCTCAATTTCCAGTCGTTAGGATCTTTTTTTCATAAGACATCAGAATAGAATGACTTCGGATTTTTCTCAGAAATGCGAATACAAGTGATTTATCAAGAAGACATTGGATGGAAGCTGCTACAGAGTTATACTTCATCTGTAATAAAAATAACAGCAGTGTTGTGTGGTTCCTGTCCAATACGACAAGAAAATAGAAAAGAAAGTAATTATTTTTAGAGATTGAGAAGTTTATACCATTTCAGGTTGTACATAGATGGAAACTCATCTTTCACACAAAACCCAATATATAAGCATTTGAATATGATAAACAGCAATTTGTTTTCCCACAAAAAAGTCAGCATCTCCACCAGCAAATTATTTGCTAAATACTCCCAAAAAAGTTTTGAATACGATAATAAACTAATCAATGGAATTGGGGAAACCAAAACGGATTTAGATCCCAATTCCTAAATAGCGGGGGTGCTGTTTTGTGGTCTCTCATTATTTTTTTTATAAGCCTACTATCCTTTTGCGTTTTAGCAACAATAGGGGATCCAAATCGTAGACCTCAAATCTCAAATGACCCACCTGAGTTCTCCGGTTTCCAGTGAATATCTACGGTGCTGGGACAAGATCGATGCCACCTGAACTGCCTCTAGTATCGATACTAAGTCATTATAAGTGGGTTCCTTGTGCTGATTAGCTGCATGCAGAATTGTCTGAAAGATTTGCAGGGGATCCCCATGGCTGACAACCAAAATTGCACATCTGCAGGATGTGGAACAGAATTATATTAGCTGATGGAATATGAATGAAAATACCAAAAAAAGCATACTTTGAGAAATAAGAACATCCCGATGGTGAATAATATTTTGTAACTGTAGATGGAAGACCTGCTCCGTTAGATCACAAGCTAGAATAGAAAATTTAGTTCTTAAAATTTTGAATGCATTTGCATTTCAAAGTGTCTTTTGGTAGCTTGAAATAACTGCAGGCCTCCAACAGATTTGTTACACTGGTTTGTGCTAAAAAAAACAAGAATGTTTAAGACAAAAATCACTACCCTTCAAATTCTGATTCCATGATGGTCACTGCTCTTGCAAGTCTACAGGCAACATCCTTAACACTTTCCCCTCCCTCTGGCCCAACAAGTGGATCCTTTATATCTATATCCCAAATCTGTTCATACTGTTGATGAAATGAAAGATAAAATCAATGAGTTTCCCAAACTACAGTTGGTTGGAGAATACTTATATGCACCAGAACATTTAAATAGTGGTACTGAAAGGTCTTAACCAGAACTTGACTAATGTTCTGAACATCCAATATCTCTAGAACCAAATATGTTGCAGAGACTAAATTAAAAGTCCTTCAATTTCCAAATCTTTTTTTTTCTTTTTGAAAAAAGTTCTAGGTGAAGTGCCAACACAGCTGAAGAAAGTGACATTGACCATCACTTACTTTATCATGCGACTCAAGTTCAAATGAAGGACCAAAGAAGCGTTCTCGAAGATCTTCCATCACCTGCATAGCAACTAAAACAGATTAAATACATGTATATGAAAAAATTGTGAACTCTGAGTGCTAAAGACATTAAGAAACAAGTGGTAAAAGGGTATTTCTTGTGTACCATATCGGTTAACAAAAGTAAACTACTGAGTACAGAAGTTGAATTTGAAAGGCTCACCTTACACTGGGGGCCATCAAAAGGAAGATTCAACACAGTTGCAACAACTTTTGCCGTGTGGCTTGTTCTCGAAAATGGGGAGTAGCAAATACGTACATTAGCAAGTGGTATATTATTAACCTCTAGTTCCTGTCGAAGAATAAAACACTTAGCTTAGCCTTAAATTGGTTGTAAATGCAATACATATAGAGAAGGTGGTATGGTGTGGTGAATTGAAATTAATTGTCAAAGATGGGTGTGAAATTGCGAGGTTGATCGAACAATCCTTTTGTAACAATATAATTAAATATTAGAAAAATGAAAAGTAAGGTACTTTTTTTATATATGAATGAGAATTCTAACACATATCTTAATTCAAACTACCCAAATTCCTTAGCACTGCACCAATCATAGTAGCTTAAAGTAAAGTACCTTTTGAAATGATTCTGCAGCGAGTTGTGCCTGATTAACACCATCGGAAGCCAACTGGAATTCAGGACGCGTGCCATTTTCCTGTGATTTAACCAATAATGATTAATAACCAGTAAGATTGGATATGGATCTGATCATTGATTAATAAAGAAGAAACCAAACCATGGATGAAACAATGAGGCCTCGCTCGTTGGGAATGCTCTTCCCATGCCTGAGAACCCAGTATCTGTTCTTCAATTCAATCGACATTGATTCAGATTTCTTCCTCGCTCTTTTCTCTACCGTAAATAATAAAATATTTCTGTTTTGGATCATTCGGCCCAATAACGAACTGTTGAAACGGCCCATCACTTCTCGTTACGGTAGCCCGCACTGTTGAAACGGCCCATTAGCATTCACCTGCGTACCCAGCACGCAATCTGCTTCATCATGTTATCAGTTAAATTTTTTTTTACCATTTCATATACTCACCACCACCACAACATAATAACCACCTCAAGCTGTCACGACAGAGCAAATTTTTTTTTTTTTTAAACTTTTAGAAAATATCTTCAGTGAGGTGAGGTGGCGAGTGTGTGTTATTAACAAGAGGGGCATCACTGCAAATTGCAAAATATCATCAATTTCTCGCACCGTGGAAACGGAATATGTTCCAGTGAGTCTGTGAAGGGTGAAGTTTTGGATCAGAAAGAAGGAGAAGGAGGAAATGGGTGGAAGAAGCACACTGGTAAAGGCGATAAAGTTCGCGAAGCATGTGAGTGGACGGAATGTGACGTATATGCCGAGACCCGGCGACGGAGCACCGCGGGCTGTGACGCTGATACCGGGGGACGGAATTGGCCCTCTGGTGACGAACGCGGTGGAGCAAGTTATGGAAGCGATGCACGCTCCGTTGTACTTCGAGCGATACGAGGTGCACGGGGATATGAAGCGTGTTCCGGAGGAGGTTTTGGAGTCAATAAGGAAGAACAAGGTGTGCTTGAAAGGGGGGTTGAGGACTCCGGTGGGTGGTGGAGTGAGTTCCCTCAACGTGCAGCTGAGAAAGGAGCTTGATCTTTACGCTTCCCTCGTCAATTGCTTCAACTTGCCCGGCTTGTTCACGCGCCACCACAACGTCGACATCGTTGTCGTTCGGGAGAACACCGAGGGCGAGTACGCAGGTCTCGAGCACGAGGTTGTTCCTGGCGTTGTCGAGAGCCTCAAGGTTAGTATTCTTCTTTTCTTTTATTCTGTTCTTTCAATTTCAAAATTTTTAATTCAATTAATGTTTGTTCAACTTGAACTAGGTCATGACCAAGTTCTGCTCCGAACGTATTGCACAATATGCGTTCGAGTATGCGTACCTAAATAACAGGAAGAAAGTCACCGCTGTCCATAAAGCCAACATCATGAAACTCGCAGATGGTCTTTTCCTAGAATCTTGCAGACAAGTAGCAACAAAATATCCTAGTATCAAGTACAATGAGATTATTGTCGATAATTGCTGTATGCAACTTGTCTCTAAACCCGAGCAGTTCGACGTTATGGTATGAAGAATCATGTTCTAATGTTTTACATTTTCAATACTCTAAATAAATAAATAAATAAATAAAATGTTTTCCATCTTACCTTAGGTCACTCCTAATCTTTATGGCAATCTAGTGGCAAATACGGCAGCTGGAATTGCCGGAGGCACTGGTGTCATGCCTGGAGGTAATACTAATATGCAATAATCTTTCTTTCTGTTAACATGTATAGAATGGATCATACCTTTTCTCCGAACAAACAATGTGCCAACTTTATTATTTTCAATCAGTTACCTAATATCAAAATGAAGTTGAAGAAGAAGCAACAAATAGATTATTATTAATTATCCATCTGCTTAGAGGTTCAAAGCTTTTGTTCTGTTGCATAACAGTTGTGGTGACTGCAGGCAACGTTGGGGCTGATCATGCTGTCTTTGAGCAAGGTGCTTCGGCAGGAAATGTGGGAAATGAAAAGATGGTGGAGCAGAAAAAGGCTAATCCAGTTGCTTTGCTTCTCTCCTCCGCCATGATGTTGAGGCATCTTCGGTTCCCTTCATTTGCTGATAGACTTGAGACTGCTGTGAAGCGTGTCATTTCAGAGTGCAAGTACAGGACAAAAGATCTTGGGGGAGACAGCACTACCCAGGAGATTGTTGACGCTGTCATTGCCAACCTCGACTAAATTATTAATGGGTGTTCGTTTACCATTCTTAAGTCTTGTTGACCAGCTGAATGGGTATAAGATTTCCTATACCGATTATATATCTCTAATTCTCCATCATTGCTGCCAGAATCTTTTGGAAATAAAACTTTTGGCATGGAGGAGGTGATTTCTATGGCGGTTTTTTGTAATAAGTTTCTTTCACTATTTTTTTTTTTTAAATGGTTGAAGGCTTGACTTACATTCTTCTCCACTCTATTACTAGATGAACAATTTTATTCAATTTTGCTCGGCTTTGTCATGTAAGGAGATATTTGCTCCTCAATGGAAGATGCATTATGGTACAATAGCAAGTTTCTGTCTATCGTTAGAAGTCAATTTGCGATTGCAAGGGCAGTGCCTAACTTGTTGCATTCCAAGGTTGGGTTCGGGGTCTGAAAGAATAGTGAATGCTCACTCGATGAGTAGCCGTGAGAGTACGCTCAAGTAGCATGTTTGACTGACATGTCTCGAAAGTCCATGACTTCGAATCGAGGCAATGAAATAAATCTTTTTCATCCTCTCAAATCTCAGGTGGAGAGAACAAAATTGGCTACTTCATTCATGGTGCATCATGTCCTGAGAAACGGAAAAAGAGATGAGACACGCTTATGGATCTAAAAGAGGCTGCTGTTCCTTTTGTGTGACGTGATTGAAACGAATGACACGTCCATTTTTTACATCACATTTTTTATTACACCTTTTTTATTTGTTCTAGATCAGGTTATTACCTAAAGCACAGGCAATTAGGTGGAGGAGGAAAGTGGGGGGAAATTAGTATTGCTAAAAGATCAAACCTCAGCACGACTTGAACTAATCTCAATTGAGTTACACTGTTATTATTTAACTTGGGAAATATGCAAGTGCCAAATGCATATAGTTCTAAGAAAAATACTATTTTGCAAATCTACATCTTACATGTTCCACAACTAGGAAAATTAGAGTATAATTGTGCAGAAAATGAGATAAGTCAATCGTAATTAGGTGGTAAAAGCTTTACATATATAAGGATATGTGTGTGTAAGTATGTAAAGGGAGCATCATTCTAGCTTTAAAACGTTGTATAAATTCAATTTATATTCACATCTTTGTTAATGGTCGTGTCTGCAACACAACGACTAAATAATGTGGTCGTCATTCCATATTTTTCATACAACATAATTCTTACTCAGAGCATTGGTGTTTTGGCCAAGGATTATAAAACCTGGACAGTCTACTTATCTATACAATATTTGATCAAAATACAGCCGAAGTGCAATTTGGGTTTATAAAAATTTTAAATTGAACCGTTGTCCTTTACGTTGAGTAACATTGATGGGTAACAAGTACTTAATAGATGGACGTCATATAATTACACTAATATTGAGAATTGACTGATTTCATTGCCAGAGCCTACAAAGTGCTTCTAAGTCCTATTTTCTACACATGCACAAATGAAAATCCCAAATTCTACCCAAGTTAAACATCTAAATATAATATCCGATGCAGAGAATCATCCTGAAAATTTTCACATCCAGTGTTTTATCCATCTTCTCCATCTTAAGACTCAAGAGACCATCTGCAAATATGAGTTGCAAAATTTAAGGTACCAAATATCTAAGAAGTAGATATAAATATCTATGCAGAATGTCAAGAGCGTCATCACATAATATTAATCAACAGAGAAAAATTAGAAATTAGCAGTGTAGTTTTCCACTTTCTGATTAAAGGGGATTAGGCATGCCCTAGTTCACCTCTATACTCACAAGAAGCAAAAATTAAGTGTCCATAAATGGGCACACAGCCAAGATCATGCCATGTAATATTATCTTTGCTCTTTCTAGTGACATTGAGAAACGGGACACCAGGCTATCAGCAATGACATACATGTTCAAATTTACAGTCAATATCATTTTTAAACAGGTTAAAATTCATCTATAAACTTCCAAAGTTGAGGATAGAGTGAGGTTCATAGAAGATATACAACAACCAAGCCTTATCCCATTTGCTGGGATCAGCTACATAGATCAAATAAAGCAATTGGGATTTATCAAAAATCAAATTTTCAACAAGTCCTTTTAGAGCCAGTCTTTTTTAATGGTTTCACCTAAAGTTTACCAGGGTTTTCCTCCACCTCTTCTAATTGAACTATCTTCCATTTGATTCACATGACCAAAACACCTTAGTCAAGTTTCTATCATTTTCTCAAAAAGTGCTACTCCTACTTTCTCTTGAATATAATCTTATATTTTTCTTGTATATGCAGTTATGCACTCATCCAGCACAACATGCCTATCTCCGTAACACTTAGTTTTAGCTCTTGTTGGAACTTCATTGCGCATCATTGAACATCATTGGTCTTATTGCTATCTGATAGAATTTCCTTTGAACTTGATAGGCAAGTTGCTATCACAAATTATGCCTAAAGCATTCTCAATTTCATCCACCCATCTGGAACCCTATGCGTATACCCTTCAACCTCCTTAATTCCTCGTCACTTTGTAAGATAGATCCAAGAAACTTAAACCGTTCAACTTGTGGTATGATGTGGTCCCCAACTTTAACCCCCAAAACATTTCTACCTTCCTCCCATCTTGCTAAACTAGCATTTAATATAATCCATCGTGGAAGATTTTTTCGAGAAAATTATGTGTTTGGTGCGTAAAATATTGTGAAGGAAAAAAGTTTTTTGGGAAGGCATTCAAATGTCAGATTTACATTCACATATCAATTTCACTCTATTTTCTGCACTGCACTTCAACATGCATACACGGACCCAGTTTCATTTATGAAAAAGGAGTCGTCATCCATTTCATCTCAAGTTCTTACTTCTTAATGATATAAAACTCTGGGAATTCATTATAATATAATATTTAACTTCTCGTCATATAATACAGCAAGTAAATAGATAAGCAAAACCAAGGGCAGAAAGATAAAAATAATAACAATAAAATATTCAAAAGTTGAGAGAAAAATAAAAGACAGGAATATAATTAACTAAATTTTAGTCATTCACAAAGAACGGACATGTTACTGACCTCCGCAATTTGTAAATCCCTGTGTAGAAACCACCAAGGACCATTCTTTGATAATAATCTGAAAATGTAAACACAAGAAGGATTCAACCCAAAAAATAGCTTAACAGGCACAGCCAAAAAAACAATAATGGAACCTCAGCAAATCTACTAAGACTAAGAGGACAGGATGATACTCTCACTTCCTATACTCTATCTCTTTCTCTGACCATATGCATTACATATAAGAATATGTGCTTGAGTGCACGCTCGCACTTGTGTGTGTGTATATATGCAACAGTAATAGGTCACTTTACCTGACAGAACCAGCTACAACACGAAGAGCCATGAAGAGAACCAAGCCTGACCACACACCATAAAGGCCAAAAAGTGGAGCGGCAAATACCAAAAATGCTGAGGAGACTGCTCCCACAAACATCTATGAAGCAATAATCATAAAAATTAACTTCGTGAAATATACCCACACAGAAATATTGGAACATATTTTGACAAGCAAACAACTTACCATGGAGAAAGCAGCATATCGAAAATCAGAAACCCCATAATGTAGACCATCAAAAATATATGCCAGAGAATTAAATGGCTGAGAAGCACTAACAAACTGGCAAAAATCACAGATAACAGTATAAACTAATATACGAGGCAGATATAGGGACAAAAGCAAACAAACACTGACAAATAAATAATCAATACCATACATACCAACACCCCAGTTCTGACAATCTGCAAGACTTCGTAGTCCTGGGTAAAAAGGTTAGCTAAAGATCCAAAAGAAGCACCCAGAATAGCAGTCAAGCAGATACCCGTAAGCAGTCCAATCTGGAAAGACATCATCAGGTTCTCAAACAAATTCATAAAACTTCTTATTAACATAGTTAAACAGCCATCGTTTACATAAATTCTGAGAATAACTAATGAAGGAAAGGCATCAAAAGGTCAAAACTCAATGCACAAAAAAGAAAAGGCTTACCCTTAATACAAAATTAGTAATTTCCTTCACAACTCTGTATTCATGTCTGGATAGAGAACTTGCGATAAGGGCCTATAAATAATAATATAGCAGTATAAGAGGGAAAAAAAATAAAAAAGGCAAATGCAAACAAGAGGACAGTAATGAAGTGAGTAAAAGCCAAGCTTAAAGAAACTATGACTTAAAATGTAAAAAGGCATCATGCTCAAACAAACTGGAAATTTTCCCAATAGATTTAATGAATCCTGACTAAGAAATAGGAACTACAGCATTTTTGTTTGTATTCCATTATAGTCTGCCTTTAGTTGGTTTAAGTTGTTTTCTTGCAAGACACATTAGTATTATTACTAGATTAAAAGAAATTTAAGAAACCATACAACAAGGGCCAAAAAAATTAAAAAAATGTAAATGTTTTACATAAAGCATGATTCAATACCTGACTAGATGCAGCCAACGAATCTGTAAGAAGGGAAACAGCCAACCACACTTGCATACATATCTGATGTGCAGCCATAGCTACTGGACCATAACGAGCAGCCATTGATGTTCCCAATGTCACAGTTGTAAGAACCGCAAGTGTTCTACCAAGAAGGAAACCACCTATAGCAGCCCACAGATCATAGCTGGAACAACAACATTAACCTAACAGAAAGCTAAATAATATACACAGTAAAACAGGAAACAGAAATGACTACAAGTAAATACTTGTTTACTATCAAACGAGAAAGACCACGCAAATAATAATCCAATTTTATCTGTTGACAAAATGTACTACAAACGCCTGGCTGAAATAGCATTGCATTTCAGGTGACAAAACTTAAAAAACCAACTTAAAAAAATAAATCAAACAAATTTGCTCTATTAACGCTATTGCCTTTAAATTAAAAAATTACAAACAGAAACAGAAAATAAAAATTGAAGCGATCTCTTTTTCTTGGAAATTGTTTTGGAAACAGTTTTTGAGATCTCATTTAGCATCTAGATGTTATCTTCCCTCTTTCCCCTATTTTTTCTAGGGAGAGAAAATTATTTTAGGAAGAAAGCCAAACCACTCCAGTTTTAGCAACGCATAAAAAAAAGAAGAAATCACCAAGAAAAAGACAACCCCTTACCAGACTTAATATAACTGCCAAATTGCAGGTCTCCCATCTTTGGAGGTAGTAACTCAGCTCGCTTATTCAGAAACCAGATCATCAACAAAGTCCCAATATATCTGAGGTATAAAAACTCCGTCATAATTCGGCTTAAATCCAGTTATGAAATAAAGGAAGAAAATAATGCTTTTGAAAAGGACATACTGCGAGAGAACGGTGGAAATGGCTGCACCAGTTACACCCAACTGAAAGTAATACATAAGTAAGGGAAATAAAAAGACAGCTGAAAGATTACCAATGCCTGCATTTTGATAAATGAATTAGCATAAACATACATGTTAGAGATATAATATAAAACTATTCACATTTCTTCACCAAACAACTTAAGCTTTTAGGAGAGTTAGTTCATGACATGGTATCACAGCCTCTGTAACCAAATGACCAAGAGTTCTAGCCTTGTCGCCCCATTTTTCTAATAGAAGTTGAATGGCAACATAAGATAGATGAATTTGTTTATTGTCCATGCTTCAAGCCCAAAAAACTCTTTTATGCGGGGTCATGTTAAATATGTAATATAAAACTATTCATGTTTCTTCACCCAACAACTTTTAGGAAAGTTGGTTCAGGACAATACATACAATATAATGAATATGATTATAAGATCTAATCATTCTTT